TGTAACTTTTCAAAAACTGCTTTGAAAAGAAAAAAGAACCACAGACCTTGGAATACTAACAAAGGGACTCAATCTTGTGGAAAATCAAGCTCCCAACTCTTGTCCCCTTGTCCACTCTGTTATCTGGTCTAATAGTTTCACCGACAATATCAAGTGTTTGCACACCCGTTCATCTTCCAGGTATATATCCCACATCAACACATTTTACTAGTAATATCCCACAGCATTTTATATTGGACAAATCAGCCAATCTCTACCAAAGAATGACACCCATTTCTATTACAACAATCCACTAATTCTCATGATCCAAAAAGTCAAAGGCACAGAAAGCATAGACTGATCTTCTTCAGAAATTCTTTTGTGTGCTCTAATAGCCAGTATTATTTATGTTATGATTTTAGTGCCCCTTTCTTTTTGGAATCCAGTTTGAGCATCAGGAATTTCTCACTCCATATAAGGTGAACACTTTTGTAGACGCATTTTTAGCATCACTTTGTTCGCATGGGAAATAAAAAAAATGTCCTATAGTTACTGGACTCCTTGGCACCTCCTTTCTTAGGGATTGGAATGTATACTGAGCATTTCAAGTGTTTGCACACCTGTTCATCTTCCAGGTATATATCCCATATCGATACATTTTACTAGCAATTTCCCATAACATTTTACATTGTACAAACTGGCCAGTCTCTACCAAAGAATAAATCTGAGAAACTATCATTAAAAGAACAGTGGGGAAATATTTCTTTTTCCCTGAACACTATCTCTTGAGGACCATCTCAAGGTGACAATATCTGAACAAAATAACATCAAAGACAGATTAAAATAGAACAATTGAACAAGAACATATCAAGAAATTCAACTCAAATCCCCATGATTTGAAGAGGGACAAAGGCTTTTTATTTCACTATATCTATGCAGGTTTGTCTCATTATCAACCATTTTATCAACAGTTGACAGTTGGTCAAGATGGCGGCGCAAGCATTTGCAGCGGCTGGGCATTCCAGAGATCGGTCCTTATTATGGACTCTACATGCTCAGGCACAAGTAATTTACAGTCAACAAGAATTATTATCTATTGGCAGAGAAGGTTGCAACTTTGAATCGAGGGTCTCAACTTACAACATCCCAGCTGAGCTTTTAAGACGGCCTGCATATCCGGGGGTTACTCCCCCTGCTCTCCCTGTCAGGAAGAAAAGAACAAGGAGAAAACGCAAGCAGAAATGAGGTTGCAGGGCCGGTCTACGAGTGAGGTTAGGCAAAAATCCTCACAAGCCTGCATTGCCAAGTCTTTTTGTCTCAAATGTTAGATCTCTACCCAACAAGATTGAGGAGTTGGAACTTACTATCTCCCTACAGAAAAATATTTGAGACTGTTGCATTATGATCTTTACAGAGACATGGCTTGACTCTTCCATCCCAGGGGAGGTAATTGAACTACAAGGACGCAGAGTACATCGAGCAGACAGGTCTATTGAATCTGGGAAGAGCAGAGGTGGAGGGGTTTGTGTTTACACAAACAATACCTGGAGCACAGATATTAAAATAATGGACATTCACTGTTCTCCTGATTTGGAGTATTTGGCAGTGAAATGACGCCCATTTTACCTGCCTAAGGTAATTGAACTACAAGGACGCAGAGTACATCGAGCAGACAGGTCTATTGAATCTGGGAAGAGCAGAGGTGGAGGGGTTTGTGTTTACACAAACAATACCTGGAGCACAGATATTAAAATAATGGACATTCACTGTTCTCCTGATTTGGAGTATTTGGCAGTGAAATGCCGCCCCTTTTACCTGCCTCGTGAGTTTAATGTTGTTATAATAACAGCAATATATATACCTCCTGATGCTAACACAACCACAGCTTTGAGTTGTTTGTTAACTGCTATCAGCAAACAGCAGCAGGCCTACCCAGATGGAGTGCTGGTGGTAGCAGGTGATTTCAATCAAGCCAATTTAAAGACCGTCCTCCCTAACTTTTATCAGTATGTGGACTGTCCCACTAGAGGGGAAAATACCTTGGATCAGGTATATAGTAACATCATGCATGGATATAAGACGAAGCCATTGCCTAGCTTGGGACAGTCAGATCATATAACTCTTTTTTTGATTCCATCGTACAGACCCCTTGTTAAAAGAATCAGACCATCAATTAGAGAAATACAAGTGTGGCCAGTGGATGCATCTGAGCAACTTCAAGATTGCTTTAGGAGCACTGATTGGACACTGTTTGAGGAGGACAATGTTGATACTTATGCCTCAACAGTACTGGTGGCACGGCCTACGACAAATCACTGGTCAGAGTAACAAAAACAGTCTGTGTAGCAGCAGTGATTTTTTGGCTGAGCAGTTAAATCAATTTTTCAGCCGTTTTGAGGTGGAAACAGGAACAACCATTATTCCAGCACCTACTGTCTATAATACATCACTAGAATCTACCATCGACAGACCACCACTAGTACTGCAGATTTCAGATGTGAGACGCGCTTTCCAGAATATTAATGTTCGAAAGGCAGCTGGACCAGATGGAATCATGGGACGAGTTGTTAGGGGCTGTGCTGCAGAATTAGCTGGAGTTTTTACGGATATTTTCAATCTATCCTTGTTGCAGTGTTCTGTCCCCACTTGCCTGAAGACATCTATTATAGTGCCAGTCCCCAAGCAGTCAGCTGTGGTATCTCTCAATGATTACAGACCAGTAGCTTTAACATCTGTTGTTATGAAATGTTTTGAGAGATTGGTGCTGGATTACATTAAGGCTAGTCTTCCACCTTCTTTGGACCCATGGCAATTTGCATACAGGAAAAATAGATCTACTGATGATGCTGTGTCCATTGTACTCCATACTGTATTGAGCCACTTAGAACATCAGGGAACTTATGCGAGGCTGTTGTTTGTGGATTATAGCTCTGCTTTTAATACCATTCTACCAAATTGGTTGTTTTTTAAAATGATCAGCCTGGGATTACCTCAGGAGATCTGCATGTGGATAAAGGATTTTCTGACAGATAGGCCACAGTCAGTAAGGATGGGATCCCACCATTCTTCTACCTTGGTACTAAGTACAGGAGCTCCCCAGGGCTGCGTGCTAAGTCCTTTCCTCTATTCCCTGTACACACATGATTGCACCCCACTGTATAACACCAATGCAATTATTAAATTTGCGGATGATACGACAGTGGTGGGGCTCATAAATAAGAACAATTAGTCTGCTTATAGAAAGGAAGTACAAAGGTTGATACTTTGGTGTAAAGAAAATCATCTCACACTTAACGTCAAAAAAACTAAAGAACTCAAAATTGATTTTAGGAGGAAGAGAAATGTACATTTACCACTGTACATAAACGGTGAGGAAGTGGAGAGAGTTGGTAGTTTTAAATTTCTGGGTACTTACATTTCAGAGGACCTCTCATGGACTATAAATGCCGACATGTTAATGAAGAAGGCACAGAAGAGGCTGTATTTCCTGAGAATGCTCGGCAAGTTAAATTTATCTCAGCATTTACTTCTGTCATACTATCGTAGCACCATTGAGAGTATCCTAACCTATGGCATTCTGGCATGGTTTGGGAGTAGCTCTGTAGCGGACAAAAAAGCTCTACAGAGAACCATTAAAATTGCCCAGAATATCATCGGGCTCCAGCTACCAACCCTGGATGACATCTTCACATCCCGCTGTCTGAGGAAGTCACACAGCATCCTGAGAGACTCTTCCCATCCTGCTTATAACTTTTTTGAACTGTTACCGTCTGGCAGAAGATATAGAACAATTAAGACTCGGACCATACGTTTTCTAAATAGTTTTTATCCCAGAGCTATAATTGCAATTAATAATGAGCTTAAAGACCACCAGTAGTGAATAATTAGTTGGACTGTGTTACTTGGCCTGCGGTGTAGATGTTTGTATTTTTAGTGGGGGACTTTTAGTGGGTGGGGAGTGTTTGGGGAATTTTATGTGTGTGCATGTGTCTGGTCTCTGGGTGTCTGTGAATTTCGTTGTATGGGTATACTGCGTATATACTTACAATGACAATAAATAATGATGATGATGATGATGATGATGATGATGATGATGATGATGATGATGATGATGATGATGAAAACCATTTGAGCAATTTTCTCTATTGGCATTTTTTGCTATTCTGTTTCTCCCGGTTTTCCTGCCCTCAATCCCTTACTGAGGACAGCATATCTAGAGGGCAAACTGTTCTTATACATCAATTGAACAAAATTTTCTTCACCATGTATGTATTAATCTGCTTATTTATATTTGAAGTTATTGGTCACTTGCCAATGTGTAACTCCTAGCAACCACTATTAAGAGTCTCATAATTCCTATAACATTTCACATTGTCCTCTCTGCTTATGTGTGAATGTCTGTACACTGAGGTTTCATTTCACACATGTGATGAAATGGACTGGAATCTTCAAAATCTTATGCCAAATAAAAACCTGCCAGTCTTTAAAGTGTCACCTGACTCTGTGCTATTTAGGAGGACTTTCAATGTTGTAATATTCAAGATGCTCTGTGCTACTGAAATGCATTCAAGTGCCTAGCTTTTTCTGTTGGTAGATTTCATTTAGTAGCTTTCAGCATTTATAAGCAGCACCTCCTATTCTTCTTCAGTGTCAGCTGACATATCAAAAACGTGTGGGGATTTTACATTCATACAATCCCTTGTAGTATCAGTACTGAATATTTTTAAGTTCATAGATGGAGCCATCTATACCTCTTATGAAAGCAATTTTCTGTCCTGCATGCTGCAAATCTGACCCTCTTGATCAGTTGGGACAGGAGTGGTGTGGAAACTCAGAGTCAATTCTATAAATGGTGGAACACCCTGACAACAGCCCACTGCTGTGAAGGCTCCATGCTTCTGGGCATCAACATAAGCATGCAGGCAGAGCTTTTCACTCTGCCCATGTTCTGTACTAGATTCTGCTCCAGGGAGCTGGATAGCAGGGGTTGTTCAACATATAGTCTGCAGATTAGATCATACCTCCATCAATACCCATTATGAACCGGCCCAGAATAACCATTTCGAAGATTCCAGCCAGATGAGAGAATGCCATCAACAAAGCAGCCGCAATGGCAAACACATTGTTTAGGAGAAGTGTACATTTTCTGAAAGAGAATATATATATATATATGAGTTTATTTCACACACATATCACATGTTTATGAAAACATCATGTAAATATCAACTTTTATCAACCTCTATAAACTTACACATAATAGCTTAGATCCACACTACATAAAGAGCATTATATGGAGGCACTGGGTGAAAAATTACTGGGAGAGAAAAATTACAAGTTGCAAGAAACAGCAGCCTGCTGACATCCTGAGTTAAGATCCTTTGTCATTTCTACTGCAACTAGCCTATGTCTTAAAGCAGAGGTCATCAACCCCCTTGCGATGAGGAGAGGAAGCAATCATCCCAGAAAAGAGCTGGGAGCCATCTTCCCTGCTCCAGCCCCTCCCCCTCCCCGCCTTACAGCTGATGGGCGCTGCTCTTAGAAGCTTCCCCAGCAGGTAAATAGGCAGTGGAAATGCACTGGGGAAGCCTCTGAAAGCAGCGCTTTGCCGGGGTTGGGGTGGGGGGTTGTAGGGGCAGACCTGCCACCCCCCCACTACCCAGAGCCCCCCTCGCGCACCCCCACGTCAAAGTGCGGCTTTCAGAGGTGCATTTTCACTGCTGAAAAAGCCCCAAGAGGCTTCTGAAAGTGGCATGAGGGGGGTTTGGGGGGCGGGGCGGGTTTCAGAGGCTTTGGGAAGATCATGCAGCCCTGCCGATCAGCTGAGCGATCCCCCCGATCATCTCAAACGCCCTAGTTTTGCACAGCTGATCAGCGGGCCTTTGCGAAATCGCGCAGCCCCGCCGATCAGCTGTGTGAAAATGGGCCATTTGCGATGATGGGGGGGAAGCGATCATCGCAAAGCGATTTTTCCCCATAGGGAACAACGCAATGTAATCGCAAAAGTGATCACAAAATCTTCATCACTATGCAGATTCGTCATTAAATGGGGTGCCCGTTAAGGGAGACACCAATGTATAGTGCACTTACCGGCCAAAATACCTGACAGCTGGAGTAACAATAAAAGCTCCCACAAGTCCTCCAATGGCAAAAATTGAAACAGATATCGTCCAGAGCAGGGTAACCGATTGTTCTGGTATTGACTGATTATATCGTCTTTCCCAAGTTTCATTGTAAAACTTCTTGATAAACTATAAAAAAATTAAAATACATTTAAATTTAATGTTTGACAGAGGTGCAGTATTACCAAGATATACCAGGTGGTGCTAGCAGTAGAAAAACTTCCCTGAGATGAAAACGCCAAACAACTTGTAGTGTTGATAGAAGAATTACTTGTATTATTTATAGGAGTTATACACACATATACAGCTTTAGTCTTAGTTTTCCAGTCTGAGGTCATGCACAGCAGTTCAACAGGATTCAATACGCAAATCACAGTCAAAGTCCTTGTCAATTAGTCCAGAGTTCATTTACCAGATGAGCAGTCATGAAGCCAAAGTTCTTCTCCCAATATGTATCACAAAGACAGGCTTCTCCCAGGATCCCTCCAACACAGCACTTTGACGACAGCAATCCAACACAACATCAACCATCCCACACCACCAACAGAGCGTGTGTGCTAGCTCTGCTAGCTTTATCTCAGGATTGTCCAATCCTGAGATTCTTCTCTCAGCTGTCACAATCAACTCAGCTGTATTAATTCTAGCTATACACATTTTCATAGCTATGATCCTGTCAATACTTGCAGAATTATAGCCAACAATTCCCTCAGGTTTGACTTAAACCTGTCAATCTCCTCCAATTGTTGAATTCAATTCTCAGTTTCACCATATATACATCTTTAAATTGTTTTTATACATAGCAGAATATTTACATTCATGCATTTCATTTCAATCCCAGCATGTAACAAGCTTTCTCATGTTTTGTTGGCCCCAATACCTTGGTTAAACAGTCAGCTGTATTCTTTTCAGTTTCTCAATACTGTATATCAGTTCTATCAATCCATTTTCAATGCTTTGTTTTACATTTTGATATCTGATATAAGTGTGTTTTGATCTACTCTTCACGTTTGGAGAATTTGCCATCTGAATGACTGCCTGGTTGTCTTCATAAACTGTTATTGGACTTTGTAAATAAATTCCCAGATCTTGTGCTAATTGCTTATAATAAACAAGATCAGTACAGAGTTCTGACAATGCAGCATATTCAGATTCAGCAGATGATAGTGAAATAAATTTTTGCCTTGCTGTTTTCCAATTCACCAAACTACCTCCTAAATGTACTGTCATGCCTGAAGTAGACCTTCTTGTTATTACATCATTTCCATAATTAGCATCAGCATATGCAGTTATGATATTTAGAGCCCTCTGGCTCTAAATATAGCTGTTTGTCTTGTGTTTCCTTTAAGTATCTCAACACTCTCTTAGTCGATTGCCAATGTTTTTCATTTGGCTTGCACACGTTTCTTGACAACAAATTCACAGCTATGGAGATATCTGGCCTTGACCATCTACTAAGGTACAGAAGACTACCAATTAAAGATCTGTATAAATCTACATCACATTCGGGACCAGTGATATTTTCTTTTTCATATTCAACATTCATTAGAGTTGCAGCACCTTTGCAGTTTTCCATTTTGTACTGCTTCAACAGCTTTAATATTTTGTTTCTTTGAGCTATTTTAAATCCTTTTTCATATCTTTTAATTTCTACTCCCAAATAGTTGCTGATTTCACCTACATATCTCAATTTATAATTTCTCTTCAACATTTGTATTATTTCATCAGCAGCTTTCTCACTCTTTGTAAATATAGCTATATCATCAACAAAGACTAATATGATAGCTTGTTCCTTTCCTTTTATAAATAGACAAGGGTCTGCTTTTCCCTGTGAAAAACCATTACCTTTCAGAGTTTTGGATAAATGTTGATTCCATTCATAACCACTGTGCCTTAATCCGTATAAATTTTTTCTCGGTAACCAACATTTGCCTTTCTTCTCAATACTAGGTGGTATTTTCATATAAATTGTATGTTGCAGGTAAGCATATAAATAAGCTGTTTCTATATCCACGTGTCTGGAAACTAGATTGTGCTTAGTTGCATAAGTCAATACAAATCTCAAAGTTTCTGGTCTCAATGCTGGAGCAAAAACTTGATTGTAATCATTGGATGTCTGAGAATATCCCTTCGCAACTAGCCTTGCTCTGTATCTTAAGTTACCATCGGCATCTACCTTCTTCTTAAATACCCACCTGCATCCTATAATTTTACAATTCTCAGGTTCCCTAACTTCCTCATATACACTGAGCTGTTTTAAAGAATTTAATTCTTTCTCTAATGCTTCTTTCCATCTCACTTGCTCAATTTCTGGCATATTGCAAATGTCCTCATACGTTTCAGGCTCTGATACATTAAGACAGTAATATGTCTCTGGCTTATATCTATCTGGAGTTCTTCGCTCCCTGGCTGATCTTCTAGGCAATTCCCTCTCCTCCTCAAGAGTTTCCCTTTCCTCTGAGGTAGATGGAACTTCAGAATCTGGCTGTAGTTCAACAGGTTTTGTTTCTCTCTTTATTGCCTGTTCTGGTTGATAGCTTTCTTCATCACCACTATATTCACTATTCACTTGCATTTCTGGTGTTTGTATTATGGTTTCTGGAGACATACTTATTTTTTCCAGTAAGCGTGTTCATTAAATGAAGCACTACTGCTAATAAACACTTTGTTTAAATTGGGTAGTCCAAATCTGAATGCCTTTCTATTCTGCTGATAACCCAGAAAATACATCAGCTTGGCTTTCTTATCTCCCTTTCTTCTAGTTTCCTTGGGGATGTGGACCCATGCAGGAGACCCAAAAAATGTAGAAATTTCAAATTAGGCTTCCTCCCTGTCCATATAGTGTATGGAATGTTGTTTATTCCACTGTGCCAAAGAATATTCAGATAAAAATTAGCACAAAGAATAGCCTTACCCCAGAATTTTTCTGAAAGTTTACTACCTTTTATCATCGCTTCAGCCATATTTTGTAGTGTCTGACCCCTTCTTTCTATGAATGCATTCTGTGTTGGGGTGTAAGGAGCAGATTTCCTATGAGTACTGCCATTTTTACTCAAAATTGCCTGGAATTTTGCACTTGTAAATTCAGTTCCGTTATCTGTATCTGCTTAACCTTCCTACCAGTTTTTCTCTCTACACACTTTAGCCATTTCTCAAATTCAATGTGTACTGAACTTTTGTCTTTCATTAAGTAACAGAATCCGAATCGGGATTTCTGATCTTGAATTAAAAGAATGTACCTTGCTCCTCCTAATGATGCATGCTTGGGTCCTATTAGATCCATTGATACAAGATCCAAAATATTTTTAACTTGTGTGTTACTGTGTTTCTTTATAGGAGCACTTTTACTCTTAGCTAACTGACATGCTTGGCAGTTTACATATTTATCACACTGCTTTAAATTTACTCCCACTGAGTTTTCTATTGTCTTGCATAGAGTTTTATAATTTGCATGCCCTAATCTCAGATGCCACAAATGAATGCGATCCCTATGTGGACATATATTCTCATATACATTGTTTGCTTTTGTACAGTTCAATCTATATAGGTTATTTCTAACATAGCAATTCAATTTTTCATTGTTTTTCCAGTAATCACACATTTGCTTTTATAGAAGGTGCAGATAAAGCCATTCTTAGCTAATGAGCTAACAGACAGTAAATTATGTTTGGGTTTTGGCACGTATATAACATCTATTGGCTGAGTTAAACACGGTAATTTTACTTTACCTCTTCCCAAAATTTTGGCACTTATACCATCAGCTAAACATTCTTGCTGATTAAATACTGGCCGAAAGTTGAATATTAGCTTTTTGTCCTTACTCATGTTTGCAGTTGCCCCTGAATCAACAATCCATTCTTCTTGGTGGTCGGAGTTATAAATAGTCTCCGTCAGGTTTAATGCATCTTTCTTGTGTCGTGTTTGTTTTCTTTTTCCTTTCTTAAATTTACAATTTTTTATCAGATATCATCTTGAACCACAGAAAAAACAACGCCTCCCAGGGTGAATGTTTGCAGCTGTGTCTACCTCCTCCTCACTTTCATTCGGCTTGTTACTTTGATTAGTGAGTTTGGAGTCACGTAGTCGCCAGTTATCCTTTCTCTTCTGTTCTTCTTCCAAAAGTCTATTTGCAATATTTAACACTGTCAGTTCAACTTGTGGAAGAACTTCTAAATTGGTTACAAATTGATCATATGTTTCATCTAATGAGGAGAGAATAATAAAGGTTTCCTGTATTTCTGTAAATGTTATATTTTTCTCTCTTAAGTCCATTAGCATTGTTTTCATTACTTCTAAATGTTGTAGCATACTCCCACCAGCTTGCAATCTAGTACGAAAGAGTTTCCTAGCAATTTGGATTTGGCTTCCAACGCTAGCTCTTACGAAGAGTCTCCTTAAATCTTCCCATGCCTGCTTTGCAGCAGTTTGGCCTCTAAGGTGACTAAGAAGACGATCTTCTAGAGTTAACCCAATTATTGCCAGTGCTTTAGAATTTTGTTTCTTTTTTCTTTCATTTAGCACAGCTGGGGGATTCTCTACAATGTCCCACAATGATTCCTTTTGTAAAAGTAATTGGACTTTCTGCTGCCAAGTTGAATAATTTTCTCCATTCAACTTCTTGCCATTTTCACAGACCGTTGACAAAGCTGTTTCTACTTACTTCTTCTGCTTGTACACTTCTTGGCTCTCACTCAGGTCAGCAATCTCTTCAGTAGCTTCCTGGTTGTATACCTGGACGCATACCTGGGCCCATAACCATTACCAAGATACACCAGGTGGAGCTAGCAGTAGAAAAACTTCCCTGAGATGAAGACACCAAACAACTTGTAGTGTTGATAGAAGAATTACTTGTATTATTTACAGGAGTTATACACACATATACAGCTTTAGTCTTAGTTTTCCAGTCTGAGGTCATGCACAGCAGTTCAACAGGATTCAATACGCAAATCACAGTCAAAGTCCTTGTAAATTAGTCCAGAGTTCATTTACCAGATGAGCAGTCATGAAGCCAAAGTTCTTCTCCCAATATGTAGCACAAAGACAGGCTTCTCCCAGGATCTCTCCAACACAGCACTTTGACGACAGCAATCCAACACAACATCAACCATCCCACACCACCAACAGAGCGTGTG